GAACAAAAAACCCCAAGCCTGCCCATGGCAGGGGGGTTGGAACTAGATGATCTTGAGGTCCTTTCCACCCCTGACTATTCTATGATTCTATTCTATTATTCTATGAATCATTTGATGAGCAGTTGGTGTTTTTTTTATTTATTATGCATAGAAAATCTAGAATCCAGTGCTACAACTTATACATAGGATACAGTGAATCAGATATTTTTTAAGGATTACAAATGAGTTTGTATGCCATTGTTTCTGGGTATTTAGATGCTAGACTACTTCTAATGTATCTTTTGATCTGTTATCTAAGGAGTCATAATTCCTGACTACTAAATGCATTTTTTCTAAATCCTATTTTATCATTGTAATTTTTTTTTCAAATTCTGATGCATTACTATAATGAATATCTTACTAGCAATTTGAAAAAAAGTGGTTCATATCAGGATATAGAAATGAAACAGATATTGAACATATATATTGGGATCATTTTTTGAGTTGCTTGTTTCTGTGGCAGATAAAGCAAAAAAACCTCTCAGTGTCTTTAAAATTACAAGTCAGGGAATTTGTCTTTTCATTCATTTAGTAGCCCTTTGGCAATGCATATCATTATAGAAGTCTTCATACAAGAATTATAATGTAGATTATTACATTCTTGTAGAGAATGTATTTTAAAACTACTTATAAAATTAATGGGGAAGGGAGAGGGAGTGTTTTTTTGTTGGTTGGTTGTTTTTTGTTGGGGTGGTTTGCTTGTTTCCTTGAAGGTTGATATGCTTTCTGTAGTTTTGATTTTTTTTTTTTTCTGGCAATTATTTTGTTGTGCTTTGTCTTTAATTTTCTTAATGGGCTGGATTTAGGAAAGAATAGGCCACAGTATCCATTTTTGTTGAGGGCCAGCAGCCTTAAGGTTTCTTATAAATCCATTTCAAAATGGATTTCAGCTATCTCAGCTTCTCCTCACATGAAAGATGCTCCAATCCCTTAACAGTTTCAGACCTCGTCTTGTCAGCACGGACCTGCTCTCTAATCACTGGAGTGTGTCTGACCTTGATTACTTTTACCAGAGCTGATTCTGACCCTGGCCTGACTGACCCTTTGGCTTGACCTGACACATCTCCTATCACTATGAGTTTACTTCATGATCTGGACTCTTGGCTGAATCCTGGCTTTGTTCTCCCTGCTCTGGTACTGCAAGACAGGACCCTGGCTGTCAAGGGCCCTGCCTTGTTGGCATGTTGTTACACTCAGCTCCCCATCCATTAGAGAGCAGCTGATCCTCTCTACTTTCCGACACTTTGTTCCATTGTTCGCTATGAATTTGGGTTTCTGCTTATCGCAGTGGGTTTGCATATTCTTTCTGCCATTCACTTGAGTCTGAGTGTTCACTTGTCAAAAAAATACCCAAAACAAGCAAACCAAAACCACAACAAAACCACATAAAAACAAACACATACACCAAACCTAACAACCAAAAAAAAAAACCTCAATACCAATCCTCCCCCAACACCGAAATCTGAAAGCAACAGTCTGTGGTCATTGACTGAAGAGTTCTGAGATTCCTGAAATTGCAGACATATATTTACTGCAGTCTGGCCAACATCTGCTAAAGCTTATGGTGCTCCTGGAAGTGGGCCACCATCAACCATCATCATGCTGAACAATTTTTTTTTATTACTTTACCAGAAAGCTATATGCAATGAAGATATAATGCTGGTACATGGTAATACAGAAAGTAAGGATGAAAAAAAAAGGGGTCGTCCAATAACAGTTGGCTTTTTGAAGTCAGTCTGTCCCTGTCTCTCACCAGATAATTCATGTTATTAAAAAAACAATTTCCAATATCTTCTTTATATAAAATATCTATTCCTATAAATATTTTCTGCCTTGGTACGTCAGTGTAGTATAGCGAAAGAAACACTCATTGAAAAATTCTCAAGAAAATCTAATGTTTAAGAAAAGGTCTGACTGGCAACTGTATTCTTGAAATTCATTATTTATTTGTAGAAGATCAGACTCAGTACTATATACTATAGTGTTTGATTATTGTGTCACTTTCTCACTCTCTTTTGGACAGCACTGCCTATCTCTCTTCAGGATAAACGGATAAGGTATTTAGGAGGCACTGTGTAGCAATTATCTCATCAAGTTAGTGACAGCTGGTCTTGAGGTGTGGATAAGACCTTGGACTCTCATTTTAATAATCCATAGTCCAGGAGACACTGCTACCACTTCTGATTTGCCTTATGAATGAGAAGCCTTGAAATGTTATACACTAACTGAACAACTTGATCTTCAAACTATGGTCTTTGTAGAGACTTTATAGAGACTCTGATGCCCATCCACTTAAATTATTAACTGAATATGAAATTGAACTAGAATATGATTCTTTAGCTAAGTGGTTAGGGTAGATTCAATCTTCCACATCCCTGCTGAAAGTGGTTTTCCAATAACGGATGGCTTTTTGGAGTCAGTCTGTCCCTGTCCTCACCAGATAATTCATTTTATTAAAAAAACAATTTCCAATATCTTTTTATATAAAATATATATTCCTATAAATATTTTCTGACTTGGTACATCAGTGTGGTATAATGAAAGAAACGGTCATTGAAAAATTCTCAAGAAAATCTAATGTTTAAAGAAAGGTCTGACTGGCCACTGTATTCTTGAAATTCCTTATTTATTTCTAAAAGATCAGACTCAGTACCATATATTCACTTTTTTTTCCACAGGAACATACAATGGCTAGGGTTGGAAAGGACCTTAAGATCATCAAGTTCCAACACCTCTGCCATGGGCAGGGATACCTCACACTAGATCATGTCGCCCAAAGCTCTGTCCAATTTGGCCTTGAACGCCTCCAGGGATGGAGCATTCACGGGTGACAAAAAATAATCTCCTTTCCATAAGCAGAAGTGCCCTACACTCTTTAAATTGCTCTCTTCCTAAGAGAGTCTGTGGTATGGCAACATGTCCAAGAGATGTGAGGCTTTGGTACTAAATGTGAAGAAGGATGGAATGAAAGCTTAGCAAGACACAGAAATACTGAACAGTGGCCTTCTGGGCAAAAGTAGTGCTTTTGTTTCTCAGATCAGAAGAAGTAGCAACATACTCATGTTGTTTCCTTGTCAAGACCTTTTCTTGGATGCAAATGTCTCCTCAGGTGTTTTAGGAGGAAAAACAAAAAGTTCCTGAGAGAAAGAAAAGGCTTATACAAATGCAATCATTGCGTGACCTTCTTGTCTTATTGGACAGGTAAGTATCAGAGAGAGATAGAAGGGAATCCCAGAAATGGAGAGAGGAATAAAAAGGGAATGGACTCATTCAAATACAGAGACTGGCCAGGTATGCATTTGACACTTTATTTCTGTATAGAAATTGTAAAGAAAATTCAGAAAGGCATAATACATATGAAGCAATGCTGAGAACTGCAGGCAGTCTGCACAATGTATTCCAGCAAATGCAAGGGGAATACGTGCATATCAGTAGCTCACCCCTATTACCAACAAATCACTCTGCTGGTACTCAGTTTGAGACAGCTTTGCTTGCAGATGCCTGCAACACCTGCTATCATCTCCCAGTGTTTCTATCATCAGAGGGAAGAGGGATCTGAGGGATTTTTTTTATTCTTTTTTTTTTTTCCAAAATAGGATTTAGGGGGGTTTTGGTTGTTTTTTTTTTAGTTTTCAGTTTTTTTGGGGGAGGAGGTGGGAGGCGGTTGTTTGGTTTTGTGCTGGGATTTTTTTATTATTATTTTGTTTCCTTGGTTTTGTTTTTTTGTTTTGTTTTGTTTCTGTTTCAGCATCTCTCTCCCCACCACAAGCAGTTGCCAATGAAAACACAGTGGTGCAATTCAGTGCTCCTTTCTGCTGTGGGCCTGCATTTTCTTTTAGAAGCAAGTTTCTCTTTACTTCTGGACCTTAACAGGTGTCTAAGATATGCAGCTGTATTCCCACATCAGGCAGTACTCTTCGGAGCTTATCTGAATCTTTTTCAAGGTATAGCAGTAGTTCTTCTGCACTCATAAATATCTTTCTGTCATTTCTTTCCTAATCCAAAGACTCTCTCAGTATACCTTCTTTTATGTTTTCCATTCTGCAGGATGCAGATGGCAAGGCAGAGAGATAGGACTTTTGTAATTCTTTCTGCTTTTTTACTAATACAGATGAAAAGCCACACAAAAAGTAGTCTTGTGACATAACATGAAATTACTGGAAGTGCTTTCCAACCCTAACTATCCTATCCTAATCCTAACTATTCTATGATCCTATGAAGTGTGCACTAACACAATGTGAAATAACTATTATCCTAAAACATGCTTCCTAAACTATATCCTAAACATACCCTATACCCCATAATATGTTTCCTAAACTATATCCTAAATCTATCCTAAAGTATATCCTAAAATTTGCTTTAAAAAGACATAGTAATAGGCTAATAAACATAATTATAAACACGGTAACCAGTGTATTAACAAACGTAGTAACAAGCAGAGTAGCAACAGTAGCAACAAAGTCCAGAGGCCAGCTCCCCAAATGGGCAGATGCACCAGCAGTTTGGCATTTGCTGGTAGGGCTGAGGAGTGAGCCAACAAGGCCTCCTGCGAGGGCTGGGATGGGTCTGAGGGCGCTGCTCTGGCTCCGGGGCGAGGTGGTGGAACCTTCTATCCAGAGCAGAAGGACATGGTGGCTCTGTCCTCGCCGCTGCCAAGGTGGTGCTGGGGCCGCAGGGTGGAACTCCAAGGCCAGGCAGCAGAGCTCATGCAGGGAATCGAAGCAGTAAATGGGCACCTACAAGGGCAGAGTCAGAAAGCAAAGATGAAGCCATGAGAGCAGGAGCAGGCGGGATTTGGCTCCTGGTTTTTTGGAAGTATGCTGTAAAAGAGGTCATTGCTAGCACAGGAGAGAGGCTCCTTACTGGGTCCTAACTGACAACTACAGTGCTGCTTTGGTCCCTTCTCAACACATGTAACCCCTTCAGAGCACGGGAAGCTGACAGAGAAGTGCAGTGCCCCTTCACCAGGCAGTGGGGTCGGCAGGGAAGCCTGGGAAGCTGGGATATGGTCCTTTTCAAAACGCAAGCAGCAGCATTCCTCTCTCTGCCGTACTAAAACCACAGGTTGACAGGCAATGCCTTTCTGGCACAGTGGCCCGTCACTGCCCTCTTCCCAGGTTGCTCTTCGCTTCCTGTTGTTCTGCAAAGAGCCTGGGAACCTTTCCATTCAACAGTATTGTTAGACAGGTGAAGCCATGATTAGCTTGAACCAAGCAAAGCCAGGCAGTTTTACCTTTTCTCCCCGGAAAAGCTCCTCTGCTGTTCACCATCCACATGGCCACGTCCGCCTTCACTGCCGGAGGGGCCAGGAACTGGCAGCTGCCTGGAACCAGCCTGCAAGAAATGGGCTGCGCTCACCAAGGAGCCCCACAGCAGAAAGGGCCCCTGGAGAGCTGCATCAGCTGCTGGCTGTGTGTGAGAGGTGGGGATGGGTGAGATTGCACCGCAAATGACCCTGACCTGAGCCTGGAGCTGGAGCAGCTTCTCCAGGCTCCCGGCATCCAGTGTCGTCCCCTGGGCTAGGGGAAAAGAGCAGAAGGTGAGGAGCGATGCAGCTGATGCTGGGCTGGAGGAGCCCCTGGGGACAGAGCAGAGGCAGGAGGGACACTCACAGCATGGCAGCCACTCAGCTCCTTCATCACCATCCTGCTGGATGGCAGCTGGGTCACCCGGGCTCCCTGAACTCCTTCCGGTGGTCTGTGCACGGGGAAGGGGGAGAGAAAGAGCTGTGTGAGACCCAAGCCAGCTCTTCCCTCTGCTGCCAGCCTGGGGATCACTTCCACACTGCCAGGAACAGCCGTGACAGCCTGGCAGTAAAGCGGGAGCAGCAGCGGTGCTGAGGATGGGGCTGGGCAGGTGTTGGCTGGACAGAGCTGAACGAAGCAGCTCTGCCAGCTGTGCATGCAGCTGTGGGGGCACCTGTGCCCAGCTCAGAAGAGGTGTTTTCTCTTTGTTTGGATGACACTCATGGAGCCATGAGCCATGCCAGGCAGGGCTTACCCAAGGAGGGTGCTGACCCAGAGTTCCTTCACTGCTCGGGAGCTGCCAAAAGAGAGGAGAAACAGCCTCAGTGCCTGCTGTGCCGCAGAGGACGATGCCCCATGGGGCAGGGCAGAAGTGCTGCCCACCCCTCTGGTGGGACATTGCACCGGGACTCACCAGAAAGTGACGACACAGGAGCCACAGGGTGAGAGAAAGTATAGTAAATATAGTAAATGAAGTCCTCAAGCCAGATGAGCTCTCACATGGACACTGCATTTCTTCCAGCTGTCCTTTTATATTAGGGGTAGGTATGGCTCATGGTTCTCAGTAAAAAGAAATTAACTATTTTTGTTAAATAGATGTGACACAAAAGTTGACATTTTAACATGTTTTTCTTCTTATTTTTAATATGTACTGTATAAAAACATTTTTAGCTCTCTATTAAACCCTTTTTACCGTATTTTTATACCCTAAGAGCATCATCATACTGTGAGGAAGAGTACTCTTACTTCAGTGTGAAGTAAATGAACTGTCACTAGCTCAAGTATCAGGAAACACATTGCAAAGGAGATTCTCAGTGAAGTTTTCTGAACATACTCTACTGATTACTCTTAGTTTTCTTGTGTTTTCTTAGGGACTACTGTATTAGTTGAGTGTTAGATCTGTTTTCATTTAAAGATTGATATATTTTAATTTGTGCAATATTATTTAAAGTTTTGAAGTATCATAGCCTTAACTGAAGGCTTGTTTTTCTACAAGTTTTTACTTTTTTAAATGGTACCCCTTGTACTTAAAATGTCTTTACTAATTCTGAAGTTGGAGATGATTTCACTTTAGCTTGAGTGATTTTTCTCTTACTATAACTTTCTCTATTTTCTCTATATAATATTGGGAGTAGAGAAAATCTGAGTTTGGGATTTACTTTCACTTTGTCTGTTTTTTGTGTTGGTTTTTTTTTTCTAAGAGAAAGAAAGTGCTAAAATTTGAAAGCAAAAAATCTTTTCAGGACACAGTTATAGGAGTAAAGAAATATTTATGAGTAGATACACTGGAATCTGCCAAGATTTTCTGTAGTTTTATAAATCATTTTTTCCCCTCAGAGATATCCTTTCTACCCAGACTGGCTAGGCCCAAGGAGCTTTTCCTGCAGAAGGCATACTGGAAATGTCTAAGTGGGGCAAAATATTTTCCAAAACCTGAAACTGAGGAACAAAAGAAAGACATTATCAAAATGATATATTGAAACCTTGATTCAAGGGACAGATGTTTGTGGCTCCTTAAAAAACAGGAACTTAAATATGGGATATTTCTATCTGTGACTCTACTACCTCAATGAATTTTTGTGTACTAGATATGTACATATTTCCTTGCTAATTTAGATTTGCAGAAACTATTTACACTTCCTAGGGAAACCATACTAATTTTCCCTAACAAGGAGTTGGTGAAGAATTTAACAACTTAAGTCACATATGTTCTAGTATAACAGCATTGTCACATACAGTCATGTACGGTTTTTTTTTTAGAAAGAAAGGCAGACATACCAAAAAACCTCATTAAATAAATGTGTGTAACCCGCTGGGCTGGAGATCAGAGGCAAAAGAGCTGTTTGCTGCCATCTATTGATGAACTGGACAAAGAAATTGGAAGAGCAACCAGTTGTACGAAACATCCCGGCTATCCGGATGTGAAGGCTTGGCTGATTTTGGAAATTTGCTCAAGATTTCCTCATAGTACCCATGAAATGCCATTACATTTTTTCTGTCACTGAAAAATGAAAAATGGTATGACTGTTCTCAACGAGGTTAATCGTAACTTTAAACTTCATGGTACCCTCAAGTAGAGAAAATATACTGTGAAAAAAGAGGAGATGGAAACCTCATTCATATCTTGTGGGAAGATTGCAGCTTCAGTAGTGTGGGAGTAATACAGTCACACAGAACAGGTAAAATCATATACACATTATGATCATACACATTATTAAACTTCCCTTCTATAAAAATTACACAATTAAATGTAACCAAACGAGAGATGATGATACATCTGCTGCAACAAATAGCTGTAAAATGTGACTGAATATTTTAAAACATTTTTTTTATTCTACCTTTTGTGAAGGGATTTTCCTTGTTTTATGCAGACGTGTTGCTTATGTATAGACTTTGACGGATTTTATCTAAGTCTTATTTTAAATTTTATTAATATCCTTGAACATTCTGAATCCAAAATTTTTTTAACAAAGTCTGACCAAATTAGTTACACAAGAAGAAAGTTCTTATTTATTTGTGTTTATTATTTATATTAGATGACAAAAATCAAAGTTAATAAATCGTATTTGATTTCTGGTTTATTCCATCTTTTTCTACTCCTTTTATTCTTTTTTAAATTATTTTTAATAATAACAAATGCATGTTTTCTTCATTGAACTTTTTAAAACTGATCTTAAAGGTCACCTTTAGATGCATCTTTCTGAACTATAAATGAAAGTAAAATACATATGCTTATTTCTAGACATAGAAAACAGACAACATGTAAGTCATATTGTTAACAACATTTATTTTGTTAATTGTTGCCTAATCTTTAGCATTCCTTTGTCTGATCAAATTATGAGGGTGCACAGAAGAACTACAACTGAATATACTTTATTTGACCACTGAGAGGTATTTGTTGTCAAGAAGCCCTTATGCATTCCTCCTCACCACTAGGTACTGCACCAGAAGGACTTGGGTTTCCTACACTTTCTCTATCACATCTGTCAGATGCTGGCATATGTCTTGGGTTACTTCACGGTGTCTCAGATGGCTCTACAAGCTTATTTATAAAGAAGTGTATTAAGCACATGGTGCTTCCTGCATACTGCAATAAGTACCAGACAGTACCTGCCTACAACACATTTTGATCTCTTTGAAATACACAGTATACAAACAAGACTAAATCACAAGTATACCGTTACTTTATGGTCATTTAAATTAAATATACATGCAACATTTACTATTAAAAGATAGTTAATATAATAAAAGAAAATCACCTGTAATTTTCTAACTTTCATATAAACACTGTAATCACAAAACGCTTTCTGTCATAGATGATTCACGCATCATGTATGTGCTCTTTCGTCACAAGACATCTTAAGGAAAGCAAATGGGATGGAAATACATTTTGAAATGAGGGACTTACATTTTTTACTTAGGGTTTTTTAACTATGATGACTAAATATTTTTCATGTTATTAAAAAGAAAACAAACAAAACACACACAAAAAACAACAAACCCCAACATTGCACAGGACTGTAGTATTACTGTATTTTCCAAATATACTCTATTTTCCAAAATAATTGAACAAATTATTTATGGAGTTAAAGACAGAAGTCATGAATAGAGGAACATCAGAACACTTCCACTTTGAACGTTTAAAACCCAGTTAAACTCCATTACATTTTGGTTTACGGTGATAATGAAATGTTATCACTATTGTTTCTGGATATCCAGAAATTAATATGGAATGATGAATATGAAACAGAACTTACATACCTTTGGACAAGCTGGGAACTAGATAGACCCTTAGTAGGTAAAGTTTTTTTTATTCACTGAAATAGAATATAAAATTATGACTATTTGGGACACTCCATTTAGGGTGTTAATCAAGACATTTAGACATGCAAGTTGGGCTGGACACAGCTGGAGCTGTGGGGGGAATTCTATTGCTGCCTAACATTATTCCCTAGAGGGCTCATGTAACAATGAGCTAAATACACAATAGGAAGGTCTTGTCATTCATCTAGTTCCAAGACTGTCTATTGACCCAAGCCAGTGCATTAACTCAAATCTGCAGCTCACTGGCTGGTGAGGTCCTGGACTACCCCAGGAATTACTCACTAAGATCAGTGTCTGTGCATGCAGGCACAGACCTGCTATCCACCTCTATCAGAATTGCAATCAGACTTCTATATTTCTAAATTTTGCAAAAATCTCTTCTGCTGTCTCCCTATATTATCACTATTACATTTGCAACAAATAACCTTAAGAAACTTGCACTGCATGTCACGCAGAACTGCAAGGACTGAACTGAACTGAAAGGACATTTAGGAAACAGAGTCCCTGGAATTTATAATGTAAGATAAGAATTCTGTAAGCATCACCACTCTTTGATGAATGAGCTCATGGAAATTCAGGTTAACTATATT